GCATCTTCATACAAGTGAAAAATTCTTGAGAGGGACGTTTAACAATATACAATCATTTAAAGAGGGATGCAAGTTACATGTAATTCATAAACCATTTTCACATAAAACTTACCTTTAAGATGTGTCACACATTTCCAGAAATTATATGTACCATATAAACTGTAAATTTATCCAACATATACTAGCAAACAGTTTTGATGTAATCATCCAAATTACACACATGTACCTAACTATTGTGTTATTTCATAAAATTTGAAGGTTTTTTTTTTGGTTTGAATTTTTACCAAAAAAAGCTCTACTGTTATAACAGTTTAACAATATATATATATATCTATATATAACAATACTTATAACAATGACACTTGGATTTCATTAAAGTTACTGCTTCTTAAAAGTGCATCATAACTCAATATCAAAGTCATGACAAAGATTATCATATTGCATAATCGCACACCAAAAAAGTCTTGTCACAAGTAATGCAAAATGACGTGAAAAAATATTTTAGTACAGATATTGTCAATTAAACAAGAAATTGACATTGGATTTATACAGAAATGAATCCCACCATATGGTAAGCGCCCAGGGGCAACAAAGTTAAAAAGCATATTTATAGCATGTAGGTCACAGTCACAAGGTCATTGTCATTTGAAAGAACTTGATTAGTGAAGTATGCATACCAAATATAAAGTCTCTATCTCTCATGGTTCAAAAGTTATGGTGAAGGTTCAAATGAGCTATATTTAGCATATAGTCAAGGTGAAAAGGCCATTGACTTTTGTATCAAATATATAGTCTTTATCTGTCTTTGTTCAAAAATTATGCCGAAGGTTAAAGTTTGCTGACAAAAAAGCTATATTTAGAGTATAGGTCATAGTCAAGGTCACATAGTCATTTAAAAGAGCTTCATCAGTGGTGTATGCATACCAAATATAAAGAGCGAAGGTTCAAGTTTGCAGGAAAAAACTATTTTTAGCATATAGGTCAGAGTCAATGTCACAAGGTCATTGACCTTGGTGTCATTTAAAAGAAGTTTAATAGTGGAGTATGCATGTCAAATATGAAGTCTCTTTCATTCATGGTTCAAAAGTTATGACATAGGTTAAAGTTTGCAGACAAACAAATAAACAGACAGGACAAAAACAATATATGCCTCAGATCTTTCAATCAGGGTGCATAAAAATATGCATTGAACACAAATTATGTACTTATTCTTTCAGCGACCTTTAACTTGCCCAAAAGACCTTGAGTTAAATTTATGACACACATTCAGGTCATAAGCAATCTTTGAAATAGTGTAAAAAATGGAACTTGCCAAGTTTATCCATGAGAAAAATATGGACTTGACCCTGATGAATGTTTTGTTTCAGTGACCTTGAACTTAACAAATGACCTTTGGTCATGGTAATGACACACCCTCAGGCCACAAGCAATCGAGTAAAATAGGAACTCACCAAGTTTATCTATAATAAAGATATGGACTGGACACAAATTATGAATTTTTCTTTTATCGACCTTAAACTTGCTCTGATTTTGAACAAAAATGTATTCCACCATTAAGCATGCCACAGAGAAGATAATGTGAAAATTTCAAGCATCTGTGAAAATGTGACAAAAATGTTACCATATATCCCTATTAAGGTTCATAAACCCTCTGCTCATTCATATAAAATGTAACTTGTACCTTTAAGTTAATGGTTTTCCAAAAGAAATGTGTTTTATAAGTAAAATACAAACGGTTATGACATAGCTTGCGGGGCAAAATTCACTTCAACTTGGCAAATTTATTAAAGATTAGTAAAGACAAGATCACCCGTGGTTTTCTGATGATGGATGGGCCAGTAAATTTTAGAGGTCCAGGGGTCTGACTGGAAAGATAGTTTGAGAAGTTTTCCTGAAGATTGTGTAAGATTACTTAGATAAGTTCAACAGAGAATATAGGTCCCATTTGGTTCGGCAATGAAACATTTTAAAAAAACTGTTAATGCTAAGAAAACCATATTACTTTACAAATTAATACGTGAACACTGTCAAGAATGATCACCAGTTCAAGGTAAATAATGGTGGAAACAATATTAAGGCACTGAATGGAAGCTAAATTTTGGTTTGAAATTTTAAGGAGGCTGGGTGGTCGAGGCCATTTTTAGACCATTTTGATCTCCTTTAGAAGAAGAGCTCTATATAATTATAAAGATATGATAAAATGATTAAGGTTTAAGGTGGCTCATTACATCCACAGTTTATTTTAGATTTCATTACAGCACCACTTATAATGTAGATGTCAAATATCCAGAACGAGGTATTGATATCATAAATATTTTTTACAGAATTTTTTATCTATTGTCTAATTTTAGTGAAATGTTTTATTTAAAGTTTATTATTACCAGAATTTGAGAACTTTCAGTGTCAAATGATGGGCATCTTCTTCAGACAAGTACACACTGTCACAGTGAAAATACCTCATTAAAACCTACTATTAATTTTATTAAAAAAAAATAATTTTCTCCCAAAAAACAATATATGTCATTATCTTTTTAATCTGTGCACAAAACATTAAGAAAATGAGTTCTGAAGAGACAAGGCATGTATTTCAATGAATTACATGTGACAAATTGAATGAAGAATGTCTAAACGAAATAAAAATTCCAATTTAAAAAATATTTGGTATAAAAAGTCCACTTTCAAGAGTTATCTTTCCTAATTAGCCAAGACTCAAAACACTAAGGAACGTTTGACATCTAAAATTCAGAACAAAGCTTAAAATTCTCAGAGTATATATTTAAATCAATAAAGCAAACATATAAATTAACATCAACACAGTAAATAATGCAAAGAAAAAAAAGTGTTTTTTAATTTCAATATGGTTGTAGATTTCAACTCTAAATTCCTCCATACAAACATGTCATTTATAGAGCTCACTGCATGCATCGCTATGAAATTGCACAATACATGTACTTGTTTGTCGAAGATTTGGCTGTTGTTTTCTTTTGTTGAATTGTTTCTGCTTAAAAGCAATTCTTCTTGGACTATGCATAATGTATCTGTTACTTTGTTTTCACTGTTTATAGCACCGCATGTTTTATCTATTTTTAAAGCATTTTAAAAGGTCAGGGTCATATGATAGAGGTGCCTGTATAATTCGTCCCCAGAGGAAAATGGTCGAAACAATAGAGGTTTTATTTTTTTGTGTAGTACATCATCAAAAAGTGGTGTAATGACTTATGAGCTTCCTTAAAAATTAAAATTTATGAAATTTTTCTTTGCCAAATGATATTTGACAGCTTAAGATACCATATTCCAAAATTTAAGTTATATCTGGTGGTTAATAAAAAAATACTAGTACTTTGTTGACCACCTAGCCTCCTTAAGAAAAAAATTTTTCACAACCACCTTAGAAATATTTTTGAGATTACTAATTTTTCAACATATGTAGTATATAAGTATAATTATAAATGTTTAAATAAAAAAGAACTAGGCTATTTGTTCATCTTCATTTTATGTAGTTGATTTAGACTCCTGATTATATAACACATAAAACATTACAATAATAATTAACAACATGAACATCTATATTATCCTTTTATTCTACTGGTATCTCTTTTTTTTAGTTACATTTTACTATACTTTATTTTAGCAAATTGCCAGGAACCTGTAGTAATATTCCTCTACACCATCGACACAAAATCACATGCAAATATGTTTGATATATGTAGGAGTTTCCTTTCTGCAAACTTTTATAAACGAGTTGTACTACTTCTTTTACTGACAATGAGTCATCCGCATCCTTAAATATCAAACCGGTTCTGAAACGAATAGTGGAACTTTTTATTAATCTTTTTACACTCGTAAAATGTAGCAGTGACTTGTTCTCCGTGTGATTTTTCTCCGAAACTTTATAAACTGCGCAGTATTTTGTTGCGCCGAAACACTCTGCAATAACTGAATAAGACTGTATGAATAAATATACTAAAGGCTGTGATTAATCAGATAAATTTAACTCTTTTCAAACCTTACATAATGAAACTATCAATCAGCAATGATCAATGAGTATTTTTCTTTACGTTCCGCGTTTCTACAAAAAATCTTCCAGAGTATACTCCACATCAAGTATGGCTGCGCCTCGTTTTCAGATATTGGTACACCGCGCCCGATCGAAAAAAAAAATAAACAAACTCAGTCCTCTGTTGATTTTATTTCTGACGTACACAAACTATATAAAATTGATTCTGCATTCAATAATGCAGAATCACTCACTACCTGAGGGTGCTTCAATGTAACTATAACCAATAATTGCTTTGCTGTTCTTGAAAAGAATTTTTTAAAAAGATTTTTCCTTTCTATTTCTATGTTAAACTTTGATCCCCCATTGTGACCCCACTCTACTCCTGGGGTTCATGATTTGAACAAACTTGAATCTACACTATCTGAGGATGCTTCCACATGAGTTTCATGTTTCCTGGCCCAGCGGTTCTTGAGAAGAAGATTTTTTTTAAAATGCCATTAATTTTTAACAAATTCATGATTATCTCCCCTTTGAAGAGGGCGTGACACTTCATTTGAACAAACTTGAATCCCCTTTACCCAAGGATACTTTGTAGCAAGTTTGGTTGAAATTGGTCCAGTGGTTCTTGAGGAGAAGATGAAAATGTGAAAAGTTTACGACGACAACGACGCCAACGACGACAACAACAACGACAACGACAGACGACGGACAAATTTTGATCAGAAAAGCTCACTTGAGCCTTCGGCTCAGGTGAGCTAATAAGGTTATTATAATGAGCATAAAATTTTCAAAATGCTGTCTTAAAAGTTTGTTGAAATCTCTGTGTCATCAACTTATTTTTCAGCAGCCTGTCTTGGTTATAAAAGTTGATTATTTTTCAGAGCATGTTCTTGATTATCCAATAAGTTGGGAGACACAAACACAAGTGATGGTGGATACTGTTATATAGATAAGGAGAACTGATAATGGAAAACCTTGTTATACAGTTAATCATACTAACGTAAGCCTGCTCTGGGTGGGTCTACGATGGCTACCACATCTTCTGAGGTGATGGACTTCATGGTCTGTGTGATGATATCCTCCGCTTTACAGCAGTGGTACGTAGCATTAGTAATGTCTGAAATCACAAGATCACAAAGCTGCATGATTGTCTCTGAATTCTTTGAAATCTGACATGATATGGTATACAATAAATAGTGCAAACTAAATTTCAAGAGAAATTCTAAAATGAACATTTATGAAGAAAAATAATCAATTACCGTATAGCGGGGTTTTTTGGTGGGTGTAAAATTTGGCGTTTTGCCCGCTCAAAGGTATGCCAATAATTTTGGCGTAATTTATTTTAGTGGACGTAGGGTTTTAGGTCTTTGCAGATGAACACTAAGAAGAGTACTGACTATTTTAACGGTTAAAATTTTAGTGGACTATCATCAAAATGCCAAAATTAGCACCCCGCTAAAATTACCAGCTATACAGTACTTTATATATGTTACAGTAAATATGTGTAATCAGGAATTTCATGTATTTCCTGAATTTTAGAAAATACATGAAATTCCTGATTTTACATATTTACTGTAACATATACATGTGGGTCTGAAATTTACCATTAATCTGTGCATTTCTCTTGGCATTTTCTATTGCCTCTGGACACAACTCTATCCCTATTACTCTGGATACTCTCTAAAAATAAAAATGCATTTTATAGGTAACTCTTTTCTATGTTCATTATCTTGTTTTAGCCTTTTAAGTGAAGATCTATGATAGTTTCTATGTACCTTGGCCAAGGTCAGACCAATGGTTCCCGTCCCACAACAGATGTCAAGAACAGTGGTTGCCTTGGTAACTCCACACCACTCAGCGATCTGTTCATATAAGACTTCTGCTCCTGGTGTATTAACTAAAAAAATATTTTGTTAATCTACATTTACTCAGTACAGAGTGATTCAATTTACAATATATACAACTGATTGAAATGACTTTACAAAGTAGTTCAATTTACCCTGGAAAAAGGCATCTGGAGAAATTTCAAACTTCATGCCTAGGAGGGTCTCCTCTATATTCTGTAAAATGCATCAAAACCGGAAAATTCAGAAATGTGTATTTTGTCAATGGCTGTGTCAATTCACTTCAATCTTTATGAAATATTCTCAAAAGTCAGAAAAATCTATTCAACTTAATCTACATAATTACATAAATGATGATTTAATGAACAGTTTAGAACACTTGACCATATATATAAAATAAATGGAGAGATATAGGTGATTAACGTACAGTTTTACCCAACACGTGTCTGTATGGCTCATTGGTGTTCCCTGTCATTCTGTTCAATAGAAATGTATAAGGGCTATTCCAGAAAAAAATATATGGGAGGGTTAGAAGGCACTTCATATATTTTTGTATGGGTAATGGGGACTGGAGCAATTAAATTTGCATGGGTGGTTGTCCTCATCCGTTATATTTTTAGATGGGTGGTTGCACTTCTTTATTTAAAAAAAAAAACTCTCGTCCTAAACAGTTGTAAAATGTATTTAACATTTAACCGATACTTACAATGAATTCATTTAACGTAGGTCGCGGGTTTGCAGGGCCTTTAAAAGTGTCCGAAAACATACCAGGAAAATTAGCTATATTATTTCTCTATCTTTGATTTCCATTCTCTGAAAATTTTATAAAATTCATCTGCACTGTTTTTGTGTAGTTGAATTCCAAAGATGTCATTGTTGTAGTAACATTTTCGACATTATCTATTGAATTGTATAGGAAAAACGTCGATTTTGGCTCATTTTCAGGCAAGGTTTTGATTTTAAAAAATATCAATAACTTTTAAATCGTGCAGACGAATTTGTTTATCCTTTGGTATTTAAAAATAGAAATGATTTAAAATAAATCAATGTGAAAAAATTAATATGTCTTCGGGTTTATTTTCTCGTAATTTAATTGTAGATAATTGCTTTTATACTGAAAATGTAGCATTTTTAAGAACAACGTCATAAAATATCGCGGCGTCACGCTTGACGTCGTGAATATCGATCTGATATACAGAGCAGAAAAAACAAATTATACTCATGTTAAAAAAAAAAAAAGAAGGAAATTCACGTCTATCTGCATTCAAATGACCAACATCATAATAATTCAATAAACGGATAAAACAATTATTAGACATGTTTCTCTTTACGTCTAATATTAGTGAAAATGTGTTGATATCTTACCGTTTCTTCTCTTTTTGTTTTGTTTTCTTCATGCGGGGATTCTCGCCGGAATTAGTAAAATAAAAGTGGCCTTGTATACCCCTCTGGAAATGGCAGACCCCCCCTTCCGTTGAAATAGTAGATCTGTGATAAGTTTGTCGGAAAAGTCGTATATGTATAGAATAATTTAGAAGTCAAGGACTAACACCCAAAACACCCCCCTGCCCCCGAAATATGTTTTTTTACGTTTTTATATATACGAGGGTTGTTCGAAAAGTACCTTTTTTATGTAACGTCATATGCTATCCAAAATTTATTTATTCAATGCATTTTTTAAAATATGGAATTGAAATTTTAAACCTATTCATTCTTTAATTTTGCTCTTTGCCCGAGATTACAGCACATGTACCGTTTCATAATTGAGTTCGACTTTACATCGGCAAACAGAGTTTTGACGCTGTTTACAGAGATAAAAGAAAACATACACATGCATGCCATATATGGTTGTGTAGATAAATCATCGTAGAAGGCAATGGTAATAAACAGTTTGTTGGTGCATTTCCTCTGAAATTGTAAATGAGTGTGTTTCTGAGGAGGGGGTACTGAGTGTAGTTCCCTGTGTTATAATTACAATAAAGGTTAAAATTTATCTCCGAAACAAGTGCATGTGCTCTCAGAATAGACCTGAGAAGATGCGATTGATAACACATAATGAAACGCTATCTAATACTTTCAGTGTTGGTCATTCGAATCGAAATAAGCCTTCATTATTTTTGATAACTTCAGTATGTTCTATGAATACTGTTACACAAAACTACCAATTTCAACGAGTTATATAGCTAGATAATGTACTGATTTTTTCATTTCTCATCGTGATGTCATAATCAGATGTGCACAAGAAAGTCGCTCAAATCATATAAATTGCGTACCCCGTTTTGACGACGTCAGCAAACCCGCGACCTACGTTAAAATGAATTAAAAAATATATATTTCAGAAACAATAGCCTGTAGTTTTTAGGTGGGATTTAGACTTGTTTTTTTTCTTCACATTTCCACTAAATAGATAATGCCCTACATAACTTAAGTGCATCCCCCCAACCCCTCAAAAAAAAAAAACAAAAACAAAAAACCCAGAATTTTTTGTTGTGAAGAAGGTTTACACAATTCACAAAATATATTTTAATTATTATAGGAATATCATTTCTACTAGTGCATGTTAACATGTATTAGTTTTACTCGAACTTTACAGATTTACAGTCAAGCATCAGAACAGATAAATACAAATCATTATTTATAGGGCTTTCAGTGGTATGTATGAAAGACCTAAAGGGGTACATTTTTTAACCTATAGGCTATAGGAACTCTGTGATCTATTTAAAAAAAAAGAACTTTGGACTTGAACTAAAAAATTTTAGTTGATTGTAAAGTCTTACAAAACTTTTGCTTCCGTTAAAATTTATTTGCATAAAAATATCTTTCTAAATTCTTTTCAAAAAGATTAAATCATTTTCAAAGTAATGAAAAAAAGAAAGTTTTGTGCATAATATTTAAATTTTCATTATATATTTATTAAGTTTTCTCTTTTTTAACAAGGCCCTGGTTTGGATAGATCCCAAAAGCGAACACTCAATTCAAATCTCATGAAGTGCAAATGCCAAATGCTAGAAAAAAGTACTGGTACATAAAATTTCATTTTTATTTCGATAACTTGGAACACAATTCTTAAAAAAAAATATCTTAAATTTAGATGGGTGGTCGTATCAAAATCATTTTTATTTTGATGGGTGGTGGGGGAGATAGCAATTAAAAATGTATGGGTGGTGGGGTAAAAATAAAAGTGCCTTCAACCCCCCCTCCCCCCCCTACATTTTTTTCTGGAAAAGCCCTAATTTTATACTATAAAATGTAAAACAGAGCTAGAAAAAGAGACTATGTGTCTATGTGGCAGCTTAGCCAAAAGCGTTTTAATCATCCTCTACTTATGCTTATATTAAAATGGCATCATTACTGTCCTGACATCAGACACAATAAATATAACCCCTCCCCCATGACTTACCTGTCAGAATACACCCTGAAATACATACAGGTGACACCACTAGTCTTCCCCTCCCCAGAAGAAAAGTATTCTCGTAGTCTCTCTTCCTCTTTCCTAATGTCTCCCTGTACAAAGAAATGAAAATGACATTGTTACTTGCTGTCTTGTTGCCCTTACACATAGACAATGACTTGAGTACTGTATGTGTACTTATTATAACATGCTTCATATTTAAGTGACTTTTGTGTGGATAAGGGTGCACTAATTTATGAATACTAGTAAGAATTCATGTATAAAATTAATACAATATACCGTGAGGACGTATGTAGCACTAATTCATGATTACACAAACAACCCAATACCTAGTGAATGTGATAAATTTTAAATATGTCAATTTATGTACACGTACAGTATTCTGCAGTGGATAAAATGAATATAAAATAAGAATGCCTTTTTTTATCAAAAAAAAATATTCCACCTATACATGATAAACTAACAGCATACACTCTACCTTTCAAATCCAATACATGTAGGTAGATGCTACAACCCTTGCACTCCTATGAACTCTCTAAATGTTAATTATAACCACATTCATCATAATATTGTTCTCTCAACTTAACACTGTCAGTATCTTACAGGTGATAGTTGCTGTGGATGGAAGTCCCCGATGGCCATGACGTCAGACCGAGTCGTCCGTACGGTCAACATTCTCCAGTGTCCAGCATGTGTCTCAGGGTTGTACGCACCATAAGGTCCACTTCTGATGAAGGTCTGGAAACTCTACATAGATATCTAATTAATTTAGTATCAGTCATTTCACAATTTAAAATCCATTTTACACAACATATGAAAACCTATTCTTTATTACTCTGTCAGAGAATGTCAATTAATTGCCTAGTTAAAAAAACATGTCAGACAAAAACATTACCAGTATATTACCTTGACAACAGTTTTCATGGCCTCCGGTATGTTGGTAAGACAGTGTGGCTCCCCGACAGAACTAGTTCCATCTTTATACTGGCCGAAGCGGAACCCTACTGTATTATCTGTCAATAAGAAAGTCAGGTAATGTAAATTAGCGGAATCAGAAGGAAAGAGGTAATCTAATCCTTAGTTTACAGCAGACACTACCAGTGTACAGGTATGACACACAACATACCATTTTTGTCCATGTCCTGTCCTATGGTAAACTCACACTTGTTTCGATACCCTTGCTGAATGGGCTGAGAAGAAACAATACACATTCATTTCTATAACTGATCATTTATTTTCAGGTGTGTTCATCACCAAAATCTTTATATGATTTTACAATGAGATGAAAAGTACACATCTACTTACCGATGGCTTGATTCGCTGTATTTCACAACAGTGACCCTCATATTTCATCCTGTATAATGAAGTTCACATGTATAAATCTTTACCCTCTAAGTAAAGTAAAAGTACCCCCAATCATTTTATGCCTTTATTCAATGGACAATACCTCTGCTCTGTTAACCAGTCCCTAAGGTCCACATTGCTTTTGAAGATCTGATTAGCATAGGTCTTCATCATCTTCTCAATTTCTTCTGATTTTAACTGAAAATGTATAAACACTGTGATTAAAAGAGGATATTTTTTCTATAAATGAAACAAAACAATGTTGGGTAGACAAGATAAGTGGTTTACCAATAGCTGCTTGTCATACGGCATATCCCACAGAGGACTCACAGCTTTCTTTAATCTACAATGAACAAGACAGCAATACTTGAATAAAAAATCCCTTTTGAAGGTACACCAACTGAAGATGCCTCTGAACAGTGTATAAAAGCAATGAATCATTATTTTTTGCAAGATATAGTCTCATAACTGCAAGGGTGTGTGCTAACAAATCAAGTAACATGCATTAGAAGGGCTGTGTATTGAGCAAAAAATTTCGATACGATACAATATTTTTAAAAGCGATATGCAATATATTGGATTCTAAAACAAGTCCATCAAAAAATCTAAATTTATATAATGCATGAATTTCATAAAAATTCAGTGTTCTTTAAAATATCCATTTCAAAGTTCTTGTCTCATTGACAATACAAATAACACTTCAAACTAAAATTTTTAATGACTGTAAAATCAACACGTTAAAAAAATTGTCTATGTATTTTGTAATAATTCTAAAAACTGTGTTATTTCCTTAATAATTATATGATTATTGATCAGTTTTCATTAAAAAAAAATGAAATATAATCTTTGTGATTGAAATTCTCATCTTTTTAACAGAAATAGAAGATAAAGTGCTTGTCTGATATGTATTGGAAGTTATTTTTTGATACGATATGATTCTTCAATATTGATACGTATCGATTTATATCGATATATTGACACAGCCCTATGCATTAGCGTGTTATGAAAATACATTTGCACGTAACTTATTATTCTTTGCGTAAGCTACAGTTCATGGAACAGCTAACTTAACAGCTTCCGGTAATTGTGAGCATGATTTTTGATTTTCGCTTATGACGTTTCACTTCCTCGGCATTCATCGATTGTGACGTCAAACTTAAACGCATGCTTTAACCTTTTAGCACCCTGTCCGTGTTATGGTGTTTTGAAAGCAATAGATTTCCACTCACTTTATATGCAAAAAAACATATAAAATGTAAATATAATGTAACAGGGACTATGTTTCCACTTGTGAGCTGCTGACCTACCTATCCTCTGGAGATAAATTTTCATCTTCATTGTCAGCCATTGGGCGGGATCTCTTTTCTGAAGGTTCACCATCTATAACATTTACCAAAAATAATTAAATCCATACCTACATGTAGTAAGACATTGACCAATCTTTTTACCTGGAATAGAATTATACTTTGATGAGTAAAATTAGTTTGTTTAAATTATTGTGAAGCTTGTTTGGAATAGTCTCAAGCTAAGGTTTAGAGTCCACATATAAATCTCTCCTGCTAATTAAGGCCAAAAAAAAATAATTGTTTCTCAGGCCAAAAAATTCAAAATTCAATGCAGCAGGCAATTTTTTTTTTTTTTTTTTTAGCAGGTTTTACACCTTTTTAAAGCCATTTGTTCAATAAAATGATAATATTTACTAATTATTCCTAAATTTTATTCTCTGAAAATAGTTTAATATGTATTCAACTTAAAATAATGTTATTCCAAACATTTATTTAAAAGTTATTTTATAAAAAAAACTGTGAATTTACAAGAAATATATTGGTTTTCTAATAAAAACGTCTTAGCATTTATGAAAGGGGAATAACTCTGTTTTCTTTTTCAACTTGGAAAAATAGAAAATTGAGGTATTTCCCTTTCATTATGTCAATAAAATTGATCGATGTGGCCATTTTTGAACTGATGGGGCGGTGCCTGAGAAACTATTGTTTAATTTTTTTTGGCCTAATGGTGCTTGATCACATAAAGTGAGCTAATCTTGAATAATTACAATTCTTTGCTGTGACATCCTGCTCAGTCAATGAGAAAATATTTCCATCACAATTAAAATCACTGATTGACATCCACAGTTAACAATAAAGTGCAATTGGGTATTGAAAGGTCCCATCAACCATATTTTCCAATATACTCGCATTACCGGTAGTCAATATTTTAATGTGCTAAAAATATTCTCTTAACATTTAACCACAGCCAGATTAAGAGAGGATCTTATATTCTTGACATGGGTTGCCATGATACTTCTTTGGGTGTCTATGCATGTTATTGTTTACTAAACAGAGATGTATGCTCAAGCTATCTTACCTCTTTGACCACCAGCTCTTCGTTTTGTCAATAACGGATCCGCAGTAGCACTGGCTTTCTGTAACAGAAATATGGAACATAAATTAAACTGATTTTTTATTTTCTAAGTTCCAAGAGAGAAAGAGAGAGAGAGAGATTACCTTTGCTGTTAACTTTTTGTCTCGCCACACATGTCCATGGATTTTGGCAATTGCTGACTCTCTCTCTTCCTCATTTCTAAAAGAAAGTTGAATTTATCAAAACATTATAAAAATATAGTTTTTGGCCAACTCAAAGAAAATGAAAACCATATAAATGTAATTATATGAGCTAGTTCTTTATCAAATAATGATCTCTCTATCACACATACTTACCTAAATGTTACAAAGGCAAATGTGGCTCTGGGAATGGATTTAATTTTTACTGGTTTTATATCAAGTTTAGCCAGCCTCTTCTTCAATTCCTAAATAAAGGGGGAAATTGACTTATTTATAGCACATGTATGTAGCTATGATAAAGTTTTGTTTCAGTATTTAGTAGAACAAGATTATCATAGTACTTTAATCCAGTAATGTTTCATTGACAATTTATGAATTATTTTACCTTAAATCCAAAACGAGGCAAGTTACAAATTTCTATTTTGAAAATCTCTGATGTGAATTCCTCTCGCCTGGTGTAGCCATAAGGATCCTTAACACTCCCAGTTCCTTCCGTGTCCTCCTGTCCAGCTCCCTCTGTTTCCTCCTGCCCAGTTCCTTCTGTGTCCTTCTGCCCTGTGCCTTCCATGTCCTCCTGCCCAGCTCCTTCTGTTTCTTCCTCCTGCTGATCTCCCTCTGTGTCATCCTGCCCAAGCTTGCCTTTTGTTTCCTCCTCCCCCTCTAAGACACTGTCTTTCTCCTCCTCTGCTGTATTATTTACCTTGTCTTGATCCACATTTTCCACCTGGTCCATCTCCACTCCATATTTGGATTCCTCCAAATTAATTTGTTTAACACCTTCTGACATGATTGCTGCTTTTTTCTTTAAATCAACTGTTTCCTTTCTTGCTGTGAAAGAGATTTTTGATTGTGGTACTTAAATTTCTTTTTTTTTTTTTTTAAAAAAGTCTATTTGTACATTTTGGACCCTCTGATCCTTACCAAGCTATATCTTTTAATATGGTTCAGAAAGAAAAAAAGCAAGAGGAAATTTAAACCATAGCATGGTTTAAAAACTTTTGTCCAAAAAAAAAAAGAAGATTTGATCAGCAGGTATTAGCAGCATCTCACGTACACCACCTGGTTCAGGTGGGAGACTACACCTTGTTTATTGAACAGGTAAAGGAAATTATAGGGGTAAATAAATAGAACACTGATTCCAATAAAACATTATGAAAGAAAGAAATTACAAACATGTTTAATTTGTCTACGCTTAGTCATTTGCACCAAGATATTGCCATTTAAAATCTGCTGTTGAGCAAATTTTTTCTTGAAGACACAGTCTGAATACATGACTTAATTAATCTTTTTCGAGCTCTAATCATCATTAAACTGAGGAAGCGTTTTAGCCATCCATGATATGCCTACAAATTCAATCATCTTCATTGAAAATTTAGTCTCTGAATGGGAATGCTCATGCTATTTTTGGCGAAATGAAGGTATTGACATTTAATCACAAAATAATTAGCAACCTTATAAAAGATAGAGCATTCACCACTATAGAAGGAAATGTAAAATACATGTATAAAATTGTTATTTAATAATATTTTTAAAAATTTGATAGTGATTACTTAGAAAATAAGAGGAAACTATATATTTCAACCAATTAAACTGGTAAGTCAAGATTCTTTAATTCTTGTGAGGAATATTTTTCTGTAGGAAAAGAATTACAGGCTCGGATTTATTGCTGGATTGTCCTGAAATGTTTGAAATGGGTGAGATATAATCTGGTGATATAGAAATCATACCGGGAACTAGGGGTTTCACAATACATGCTAATATAGGGTATACCACAATGCCAAAAAAAATTATGCTGTCAAAATGTAATTAAAATTTAATGAATGATGAGCTAAGGAAGTACATGCATGCAGCCTGCAAAGAACTTTATTACATCAAAATACTAACCTCTTTTGTTAGATCGTAAAACTTGATGCATTGCAACCATTAGATTGAATGTTTTATCATTAAAATGATAATGTCCTACAGACCCCGTTTAACTGTGGTGAGAGCTTGCCCTGAGACACTGTTTGATTATTCTAACTATGCAAACATCTGTCATATTTGTGAGACTTAATGCTCCCAAGAAATACGTTAATCTAAGAAAAGTTGATTTAGTGGGCGATATAGCTGGCTTCAGGTACGTAAATAAGGGTATGAAGGTAATTTTACAGTGTTCATGCTATGTTGCTAAATCTAGTCATTGTACAAGACCTGTTGAGTAATTTTTGACAATGTATAATGCTAGTGAGGTAATTCTGTATCTTGCTGGTCTGAAAAAATTAAGATGGATCAGGATGACCAGAGAGTTACTGTGCCATACCATTGAACATGTGTATATAAAAAGTGTGCTGTTTCTTAATTGATTTATTTCTCTATTTATTTATACTGCCATATCAAAATGTTACTAAAAGTGTGTTCCTAGCTAATTCTTTTACGACTAACTTCGTCAAAAAAAAAAAAGCAACATTGTCTATTAATACTGCCATATTTGGTGGCAAAATAATTTGGTCCGATGTGTTTTGCAATTGTGTTTAACTTGTACATGTATAGTTTTGTTGTGGAAGTAGTAAAAGAATATATTATACTTTCATGTAAATTGGTTGAATCTGATTTGTGGAGGAAACATTTAAAAAACACTATCACATGCGGAATAATGAAGCCACGCCCTCCAGCGTTGCAGCTGCCAACATTGCTTGTAGATGGGTGATATTAAAAAAGATGTTGACTGCGCAGAATTTATGCATGCAAGGTTCACTGTAATATGTATTTGTATAAAACATTCAGTATAATATTGGCTGCACCTCTGTTGACAATGTTTTTTTTTTTGGGGGGGGGTGAAAATTTTCAACGTGTGACACTCAACCACATGCAATATCTATATAATGTTAGAAACCCACGGTTAGGCCATAATAAAAATATTCCTAGATTCTCATCCCCGCCCGCCCCGATTTTATACCACCGCCTCAATTTTTTTTATTTCTGTTTTTCTTCGTCTTGGGATCGGTATTCATCTACCCATTCTACTTTCGTTTTAAATCCCGCGAAAGTCGACATGATTTTGACAGCTGAAAAGATGGTAATTGCTGTAATACATGTACATGCGTATATATTTTAAACAAGGTTCATTGGTTGAAAAAGATATATTACGAAAAATAATCAAGAATCAGCGCACTTTCTGTGCACAATAAATATACACTTTTTTCAATGGGTCGCACTGTAGATCTCTGTTCATCCACTCCATTTTTTGTCATACCAGCGAGCTACGGATCTGCAGCTAGGTTAATCTTAAACGTGTTTGAGGGAGTACACCCATGGGTACTGGAAGTTGATCTAAATACTGTGTATGTGCCTGTCCTTTTCTTTTGTTTAAATATGAAACTTCCAGTGCGCAAGTCACCATGGGTAAAGAAATTGTTTATCAAAATAAAATAAAGCAACATAACATTTTACTTACTTTTTAATCCTTTGCAAAATGATAATGAAAATGAGCAAAAAATTGCGTGGAGTCAACAACGGAAACATGTGCACGTACATAATATCCAAAATCTGTATTCATCGACAAAAATTGAATAATTCCGGATTTACTTATTGGTGGACACTAAAAGTAAAAATAAGCATCTTACCTTTGTTTACATAGATTCTAACTCTTAACGTTTAATTTTATGTTGTGATAATAGATTATTGCTCTTGTGGTTCCACTGTAACAAATCACAGGCACCTGAAAATGGATGGTGTATACCCCCTCCCCCTCCTTCCCCTAGCTTCTGAGGAAAAAAAAATGATTTCCTAGTATATCATTCTTATATTTCGATATCTGATATCATTTTCCGCTTTTGTTAAGATTTAGAGATTGGCCTACACGGTATATAAAAGTATTTTTACACCATCCATTCTTCAGGTGCCTGTGGTCAAATTTTCCTAATATCATGATATTCAGGCGCGGATCCAGGAATTAAAGTTAGAGGGGGCGCCAAAAGTAGGCAAGGGGTCTGGGGGCCGCCTTGAGGCCCCCAGTGAGTCCAGGGCAGAGCTCTGGTGGGGGTCCAGGGGGCGAAGCCCCGGAAGCTCCTGGATTCTAGAGATTTTGTAGGGTAAAAATGAGGTCTGCCAAGTATACATATTTACATTTTCCAGACGAAAGTGTGATTTACGTAAATTTTGACAATTTTAGGGGGTGGCGCGCGCCGGGTGCGCCCCCCCCCCTTAAATCCGCCACTGATATTACATAATTATATGTATTTCTGAAAAATTAAGCAACGCTTCATGCTTCAAATTATTTTCCACCTGAATGTAATATATATGGATGTAACCAGGGTATGTATATAGGTCCCTGATGTAACGTGCAGTATTACAATTTAATACAAATCAGGAGCAGAGAAAACACGGACCTCTTAAACATCAGAGCTGGGATGAGTTGCCTCGGAGGAGTGAACATCCCCTGCCCGGTCACACCCGCCGCGTGCTCTGTTGCAACCACTATTGAAATAACGACCACTATTGAAATAATTATATCAATAGTGGTTGAGAGTGCATTTCAATAACAAACATAGTTAGTAACCGCTATTGAAATACGACCACTATTGAAATAATTATATCAATAGTGGTTGAGAGTGTATTTCAATAGCAAGCATAGTTAGTAACCACTATTGAAATACAACCACTATTGAAATAATTATATCAATAGTGGTTGAAAGTGCATTTTTTTTGCAAACATAATTAGTAACCACTATTGAAATACAACCACTATTGAAATAATTATATCAATAGTGGTTGAGAGTGCATTTCAATAGCATACATAGTTAGTAACCACTATTGAAATACAACTACTATTGAAATAATTATATCAATAGTAGTTAAGAGTGTATTTCAATAACAAACATAGGTAATAACCACTATTGAAATACGTCCACTATTGAAATAATTATTTCAATAGTGGGTGAGATTCATTTCAATAACAAACATAGGTTGCAACCACCATTGAAATAATGTTCACTTTTGAAATAAAGATTTTAATATGGATTAAATTATGGTTTTAGTTTTGAAATATTATCAGCAACTATCAAAATAGTTATTTAAATCACTTTTGAAATTATTATTCCATTAACTATCTAAATCTTCATTTAAGGACAGATGATACAAACAAAATATTGATGCCTGGATTGGTATGTATTTTTTGGTCTGATTTCATTGAAAATGATACAAATAATAAATTTCTAGAATATAAAGAAATTGTGAACCTTCTTTGATGTTCAAAATTCTGCCTCACTAAAACCATCTTTATTAATTTATACACTTTAATTATTAATCTATATATTTTTCACCCCAAATCCAATTTTTGTGAAAGTTTGGATAAAAAATTAAAAAAATGGCGGTGAAACTTTTCTTTCAATACTGGTCGTATTTCAATAGTGGTTAAAACCTATGGTTATCATATTGAAATGCACTCTTTCCACTATCAAATAATTATTTCAATAGTGCTCGTAGTTCAATAGTGGTTGAAACCTGTGGTTATTATAGTGAAATGCATTCTCACCCACCATTGAAATAATTATTTCAATAGTGGTCGTATTTCAATAGTGGTTACTAATCTCTGTTATTGAAATGCACTCTCAACCACTATTGATATAATTATTTCAATAGCGGTCGTATTTCAATAGTGATAATTAACTATGTTTGTTATTGAAATGCACTCTATTCCACCATTGAAATAATTATTTCAATAGTGGTCGTATTTCAATAGTGGTTACTAACTATGTTTGCTATTGAAATGCACTCTCAACCACTACTGATATAATTATTTCAATAGTGGTCGTATTTCAATAGTGGTTACTAACTATGTTTGCTATTGAAATTCAGTCTCAACCACTA